GAGAACAAGTCTTCTGAGGAGCGGCTGAGGGAACTGGGGTTGTTTAGCCTGGAGAAAAGGAGGCTGAGGGGAGACCTTATCACACTCTACAACTAGCTGAAAGGAGGTTGTAGCGAGGTGGGTGTCGGTCTCTTCTCCCAAGTAACAAGTGATAGGACAAGAGGAAATGGCCTCAAGGAAAAATCTCTTCACTGAAAGGGTTATCAAGAATTGGAACAGACTGCTCAGGGAAGTGGTTGAGTCCCCATCCCTGGAGGTATTTAAAAGACGTGTAGATGTGGCACTGAGGGACATGGTTTAGTGGTGGACTTGGCAGTGCTAGGTTAATGGTTGGACTTGATGATCTTAAAGGTCTTTTCCAACCTAAACGATTCTATGATTTTGTGATCACTGGGTCCATTTTTGAAGAGCTACTGTTGAGTCATTTGTTGTCCTGTTTTATGTGGCTAGTTATCTCTGTCCAAGTTCAGCACTTCACACCTGCCACTATTGAATGGCAATTAATAAAAAGGCTTTTCTCTGAAAAGACATTTGCAATTCTAATTTTCTCTTCCCCCATGCGCAGTACTGCTGCACACAGTTGTAAGATCTATGAAGTTATGGGTGTGTGGGGGGAGAAAATGAATAGGAAGCAATTTTTATTGCTTAGTGCATTCAGATTAAGGCAGATCTAATTAAACTGAGGCAACTGACTTAGAGCGAAGGGGAGCTCACCTTCTCGCGTGCGAAACCAAGCGGGGGATCTCGCTGCCCCAGGATGCGGTGATGACCTAAAAGTGCAACGGCCGTACAGCGGATTCCCATAGGGATTAGATTAACGGAGGGAGAACGGCTGCAGGGGTGGATAACGAACCCAGTCTTTGGGTGCACCCTGCGGATTGGGAAGTTCATAAGTTGCTGACTTGAAGGATCACTCCATAGTCACCCTCCCTTTCTTAGGGAGGGTGGAAATCAGCGGTTGGTGGGTGTTGGACAGAGAGGGATGGAGTCAGCACAGCCATGCGGGGTCACAGAGGTGCCCTTCGGGTCCATTCCCAGGATTCCTCTCCAGCGCCCTTTGCTCCTCTCTCTCATCACTCTGACACTCTCTAAATGATAGCAGAGTGATGTTTAAAAACCCCAAAACAAAAGCTCTGCTCCGTACCACATGTTCCATATATAGATGAATGAACTAACGACTTGAGCATCCCGTAAGCCCCTTGTGTGATCCCATCGTCTCATTCTTCACATGTGTCCACCTGTTGTCTGTCCCCCCTTGCTGTGTGTCTGTCTTAGATTATAAAATCTCCTTGTCTGAAAAGCTTCAATGTGTCTACAGAGAGTCTATATAAATAATCATCTATTTTTTTTCAATGTATGGATATAGACCTTAAGAACAAAACAAAACATAACCCCCCCGCCCCCTGAAAACTCTTAGTGTGCAAGGGCAGAATATACTCTTACTTTTTGCTTTAGCTGGGATTGATATGTAATTTTAATAGAAGACTAGTACAGCCTTGGCATTATTTTAGGAGCAGTTTTAAATTACCCTACATGGATTCCTTTTTCCTGGTAGGATTTTCAGGATATAAGCAAATAAAATAATCTTTGGAAGAGATGCTGTGCTCCTGCTCATAAAATCTCAATACATCATAAAGGAAATGAGCAGTTTTTGCACAGGGCAAGCAGCCAGGAGAGCTGAAGCTACTGCAGAAGGGGGAGCAATATGATGCAGATGCTGTAGAAAAATTGTGTGCGGGGAGATCGTGGGATGACTCCTCTTCTTGCATCATGGTGAGCTTAAAAACCAGCATGGCCAGCGTTAAAACAAAAGGAAGCCTGTGAGGCTGGGTGGCTCTGCTCGTTGAAGCAACACCAACCTCTCAGTGCGAGACCTCCTGTTGAAATTTGGACCAGTCTGGGAAATCTTTGTTGCCTGGTATCTTTCAATAGCGAGCAGGAAACAAATTGGATCCTGACTCAATTTTGTATATATTAATACAAAACTCCCCTCCTTTCTGAACTGGTTGCCTCATGGTGCGCTCAAAAAGGAAAGAGGTGGCTGTTACCTTCTGAATCCGCCTTGAAGCTTGTCCTGCTTTGCTCTGCTATTGCTGCTGCTCCGTGCACCGTCCATGTGCTGTTGGATAATTGCAGAGCATCAAATGATGTTCCTTCACTAGCGATAAATTCATTAAATATTCAGCTTGTTTCTGCAATTGTTGAAAAGTGTCAGGAAACAAAGATCTTAAGTTGGTTTGTGTGATCTTATGCTCCTGACTGTACTTTGAGAGCTCCGTGTCGCAGCTCATGCTGTCGTCCAAGCTCTGTTACTGATTTTGCCTATAGAGTGAACAGAACTGAAAACACACAGGAACTAGTTCATAAAATTTGATGATGCCGGCTGAAATCCAGCATCAGCTTCCTCTGTACAGTAAGCCTGAGTAAAACTAGAAACCTCTGAGACATCTTACAGAGACGAGCCTTGGAATGAATATTTACAACTTTAGTAGCTGTGAAAAGAGTATTCTGTGGGAAAAAAAGTAGTTTTATGGCATTTTAGTCTCAGACTGAGATGAGGTACCTGAACTCTGAGCAGTCCTTCTCTGCTGGTATTTACCTTTATAATTGGCTACTTTTGCTAAAGACCTGAAGCTGGGCATGTTTACTTGAAAGTTTGTGTAATTTTTTTCAGCTATCCCAGCTGGTTTGTAGAAGATGGTATCTCTATTTACAAACCTCCTCCTGTCTGAACTTGAATGAGTTATTCAGGAGAATTTCCAAAGTCATCTTTCTGCTTGTTGTCTAAATTATGTGTAAGCTGCTTATTTTCTATCCTGATGAGTCTAAAAATTAGCTTTGTTCTTATGTGTGTCTTTACTGAGTCAAACTGATGCCTAGAGCCATCAAGAGCTGAACTGCTGTGATCTTGCTAGTCTAGGGAACCTACAGGTTTGGAAAGTGGGAAATTTAGGAACTGTGAGTCCCAGCTTGATAGGATAATACAGAAAGATGGTTCAGTAAAGAAAATATGTACTACTTTTTTATAAAGGGATACGGGAGCCGGGAGGAGGGATCCAGTGGGAGATGCACCTGAAGATCTAAAAGAAAATATCTGAACTTTATACGTAAAGCCCACGTTTAAGAGTTCTTTTCTTGCTGTGATATTAAGGAGTTAAAACCTAATTACAATCTATTTGGTGTTGGGAAGGAGAAATTTCATTTCATGAGATTTATGTCCTACCTCTACCACTCACATAAAATAGCTTTTAAGACGAGAACCCGTGTGAGCATCTGTTACAAAATTTGATCAACCAAGACTGCAGCTTTTTGAGGCTGCCATGCAACAGTATTAGCTCCTGGTGCCTTTTACTCTTCTCTAGTAGCAGGGAAGAAAATCCTTAGTATTTGCTGGGTGGCTGTTGGCATCCCATGTGCCAGAATGGCGATGACTATTAAATCGGCTAATGAACAGTTTTATGCCATGCAAGAGAAGATTGTGTGAAAAGTGATGGTGTTTATGTACAATTTCTTTTCTGTGAAAAACATTGTCCTGATTTACATGTAGACATGCTTTGTCTTTTTTCCTCAATATCCCCACAGAATCAAGTGACGGACACCAACCGAAAGCTGCAGAATGAAGGCAAAGAAGTAAGCGATACATTCATTCGTTCTGTGGTTTTTTTTTTTTGCTTTTCCTTTATTTGGCTGTGCTCGCTAGAGGCAAATTACACTGAGCATCAATAACTGCTCAGCATTAACTGATAATGTACACGGCATTGGTATTAAAGCGTACATTGCTTTTTTGCATGAAAGATGAGTTGTGTGAGAGTGTTGGGAAGTGATTTTTCTTTTTTACTGCTTGTAGATTGAAAGTTAGTGGAAGGCAAAGCCTGGGAAGCAGGAGGGACTTGAAACAACAATAATCAAGTTGTGGGCTTGCTCTTGCAGCCTTGAGTGGTGTGAATGGAATCGTTCATAACAATACTGCATCCAAAGCAGCGCGGCCAGCAGGTCGAGGGAGGGGATTCTGCCCCTCTATTCCACTCTGGTGAGACCCCACCTGGAGCACTGCGTCCAGCTCTGGAGCCCTCAGCAGAAGAAAGACACGGACCTGTTGGAGCGGGTCCAGAGGAGGGTCACGAAAATGATCAGGGGGATGGAACAGCTCTGCTATGAAGAAAGGCTGAGAGAGTTGGGGTTGTTCAGCCTGGAGAAGAGAAGGCTTCGGGGAGACCTTCTTGCAGCCTGTCAGTACTTAAAGGGGGCTTATAAAAAAGGTGGAGAGAGCCTTTTTACCAGGGCCTGTAGTGCCAGGACAAAGAGCAATGGTTTTAAACTGAAAGAGGGTAGATTTAGGTTGGACATAAGGAAGACTTTTTTTTATGATGAGGGTGGTGAAGCACTGGCCCAGGTTGCCCAGAGAGGGGGTGGATGCCCCATCCCTGGAAACATTC